CAAGTGAACGCCAAATAAAAAAGCGCATAATAGTGCGCAATATTATTAGTACTTTTAAAATTTACATTAGTTTTTTGAGAAATCGGAAGTAGCGTAAAGTACTACTTCCAGTCAACGGAAATTACTCAAAATTTAACAGAAGGTAGAGAATTAGATCTTTTACTTACATGTGCAATTACATTTATCTATCTGAAATAGTACTCAAGTTATAGGCTTTTGAAAAATTCAAAGTAGGAAAAGTACCACTTCCGGTTATCGGAGATCGCTCAAAAGTTGATACGGATCTACGATTTTGATAAAATACTTATATATGAAATTTCATCAACCTAGCTGTAACGGTACTCATGTTATCGTGTTTACACACGGACAGACAAACAGACACACAGACATACGGACAGGATTGCAAAGCCCAGTTTTTCAGAATGGATTACGCATAAAACCTCTTAATTTTGATAAATCTGGATTGATAATTTTTGCCCGATTAAAATAAGTCCTCTATACTTCGGATGTGATGAAGGACTGAGGTGTAATACGGTGAAAATTGTTAAAATTTCAAGAGATTTTTGTGCACGATTACAATACTTTCTCTATACTTCGTATATACGAGAAAGTAAAAAGAATCAATAACAGCTGATTTTATTGCAGTCAAAATAAAAATTGTTTTAATATTTTTTAAAAAATTGAAAAAAATCTTGGAAAGATAAGATTTATTTTTACTTTAATCCTTAATTTTATTCAAAACTTTTCTTTAACTTTTTTTTCAATTTTATTTTATTATTTATTATTTACAAATGAACAGTCTGATGTAAACATTGTGAAACATTTAATGTAATTACTTGTAACACTTTTTCTAAGAGCTGTTCTAGCTTTTTTCATTGGCTTTAAGTTTTTCTGTTAGCTAAATAAACAATATATTATAGCCTTAAATGTGTTATTTTAAGTTTATTATTTCATAAGTTAGACGACAATAACATCATACTACAACACCATGTATATTAGTTGTGTTATAAAAATACTGTACTAGTCTATATGAAGTACTGGAAACCAATTAAGAAAGTATTATCAAACCAGTGTTTCTTCCAGACTTTTTTCTCCGGATGGGGGGGGGGGGGGGGGGCGGTCGACATTTTTCGGGGGGGGGGGGGCGGGCGGACACTAGTAAAAGTGTATGTTTACTATATAAATTCCTTCTAGTTCGGGGGAGGGGGCGGTAGACTTTCTTGGGGGGGGGGGGGGCTCCGCCCCAGCCCCCCTCCCCGAAGAGATGCCTGGAAGAAACTCTGTATCAAACTATATTCACTATCCCTAATACCAGCATACAATATAAAGGTGAAAATTTTGTAAAAATGAAAGTATACTTTACTAAATAACAAGACCGTGAAGTTTAATCAAATTTATGTTAATTTTTACTAATATTCTTTTTATATGGGAATTATCTACAATTTAAAGCACAGTGGGAAAAATTGGCACTAAATAACTCAGTGGCGACAGGACACGGGGGCCGGTGCCGGTTGGTTCTAAAAGTCTACGAAGACTGACCGGCGCCTTATATGAGCACTACACATAACAGCAAATCACTAATTAATTAAGCATTCAAATTCTCAATGTTTTTGAAAACCTAAGCGAAGCTAGGCAGCATGCCTAGTCTAATAATAATACGTTTATTCAGTCATATTAGGCAAGATATTATATATATATATATATATATATATATATATATATATATATATTGCAGATAGTGTTTTAAAAGTTAGATTTAGATTCCCATTAAATTATTCTATTCCGGCGAGTTATCAATATTGTGCCCCATCCCATTTATATTTTATCAACCCCCCCCCCCCCCCCCCCCCATCCCAGTTCAACGGTTGATGGCGCTTTTGACCAGTCATTAGTTTTTGCTTTGGTACCACACTTTGACTTTGTATAATTCAATATCTCAGCTTATAATGAGCTTTCAATTTTTGTTCTACCCCTTTTGGCGTCCCCTTAGGTTCGGCGCCCTGAGCAGCCGCCCCACCCGACCTCTCCTAGCTACGCCACCGAGGGAGACTTAGTTAACATTTATCGCAGTAATGAAGGCTAAGTTACCACGGGGGACAGTTCGTTTAAGTTACATTTCGACATAATTATGTTTATTAACTATACGGGTTGAAGCATGAGTTGGTGCTACGTTTACCAAATCAACAGTAAGAGCATTGATAAATAGGTTTGTGTACTAAAACCAAAATTTCGCCGTGCTACTATATTAACATACATAAATTGGAATACATTTGTAATAAGTAAAACTTTATAAAAATACTTTAAGCGGTGGACTACCAAAATGTAAATAAAATATGTGTTTAAATGTGGGAAGTAGTGTTCAAAATCCCTCATTTCTTGTTTTACTTAAGTATCCTTAAAATCGAAAAAAAAATGAATTAATAACTAGAACAATGAAATATAGACAACTGGATAAAAGTGACGCAATTCTAGTTGATTTATATTTTTATAATTTTTGCCATCTTTAGCTGCTTTAATTAATTCTGCAACGAGCAGCCCAAAGCATTTTTTCTATCCTCCATCCTATTTCGTTTTGCCTCCTTCGCCATATCCCTACTGCACTTAGCCTGTACTCGTTTTTGATTAATACCACAGATACAATAGTATGCACGTTTCAGATTGCGCACCACGATAAAACCAAATCACGCACAGTTTGTATCCAATGCTAACCAACTGACATATTTACATGGTTTGGGTGGAGAAGCCGGCCATTTTGATCTTACAGAGGGAATTCTTTACAAACGGAGGGTTTTCGTATTGGAAGCTACATGTTGAAGTGGTAAAAATAAACCTTAAATTAAGCACGATGATTAGCATTGTGGATTTTATGTTTAAATACAATAATACATAGATCTAGACCTACTTCAGTAGCATATTGAATCTATGGTTATAAATAAACTATGTATAAAGGTTAGAGGTTAGATGTAATCTATAGTTTCGACCACATGATATTACTGGGAGCATGGGCTAGAAGTTCGACAACAGGGTACCACTGGGGTGCAGAGTTTCTTCCAGGCATCTCTTCGGGGGGGGGGGGCGAAGCCCCGCCGAAAAAAATTTACCGCCCCCCCCCCCCCGAACGAAATGAAATTTATATAATTTATATAGAAAATATATACTTTTAACAGTGTCCGCCCCCCCGAAGAAAGTTTACCGCCCCCCCCCCCCCCGAAGATTTCAAGTGCCCCCCCGGAGAAAAAAGTCTGGAAGAAACACTGCTGGGGTGTGGGTAGTACGTCGATCACAGGGTCCTGTGGGGGGTGGGGGTGGTAGTAATTCGAACACAGGGTCCAACTGGAGTGGGGTGGGGTAGTATGTCTAGCACACAGTCATCCTGGAGGTGTGAGGTAGTAAATCAACTCCAGTGTTTCTTCAAGCCTTTTTTTTCCTCCGGAATAAGGGAGGGGGGAGGGACATTGGCGTAGGCAGGGGGGGGGGGGGGTTAGGGGGTCATAACCCCCCCCCCCCCCCTCATAGACCCCTCGGTATAAAGTATGAGAGGGGTGCAAATTGAAAGTTTGAGGGGGGGGGGTACAAATCTAAAGTTTGAGGGGGGTGCAAATCGAAAGTTTGAGGGGGGGAGGGTGCAAATCGAAAGTTTGTCCCCGGGTAAAAATTGGAACCTCCACCCCCCTTGAGACGATCCTGGCTACGCCACTGGACACTGGTAAAAGTATACATTTTCTATATAAATTCCATTTCGTTCGAGGGGGGGCGGTGGTAGACTTTCTTCGCTGGTCAACTCATTAGTCAAACTAGCAGGGGGCTGGATGGTAAGTTAACTACAGAGTATTATATATGTTCAATGAATGTTGAAAGAATAGATGTTTTAAAATAAACTAAAATAATTGCACGTGGCCATTTAAAAAAAAATTGTAATAGGTTACTTTTATTTTATTGTTACGACGCTACATAATTGTGTCATTAAAAATGGCACATTGCCAGTGAGTGCCATAGTGACATATCCAGACGCCTATTATGGTTGTGCGAAACCAGGACATACACAACAAGACCTCCTTAGATCAAGATATGGGTGTAGCGATAATCTCCGTTACGTTCTTAATCTTGCAGAAATTGCAAGGTAAGATACCTTTTCGAACCTGGATCTCCATTGGCAGATGAAGCAGAGTTTGCCATTTTTTGTGATCTCGGCATATAAAGATATCATGTTGTCAGCACCATGCCCAAACGCCTTTAACTTCCGTAACGTGAGACAGGTGCCCGTCAGGGCTGGGTGGACTCAGGGACATCCTATGGACTCGAGTGAATGTTGTTGCTGCGGTTGTGCTGGTCACACATCAAGGGCGTTTCCTGAGACATATCAAGGGCGTGTCCTGAGACACATCAAGGGCGTGTCCTGAGACACATCAAGGGCGTGTCCTGAGACACATCAAGGGCGTGTCCTGAGACACATCAAGGGCTTGTTCTGAGATACATCAAGGGCGTGTCCTGAGACGCATCAAGGGCGTGTCCTGAGACACACCAAGGGCGTGTCCTGAGACACATCAAGGGCGTGTCCTGAGATCCAGCAAAATGGGGTTAAAGAATTTTCCCATCTGAAACTTACACATGAGATTGAGGTGAAGCAGAGATGCAAATTGATTCAATTCAATTCACTTCACGTATTTTTTGTGGCCCCTGGGGAGCAAATTGAAGTATGAAGATAAATTTGCAACTTTATAAGTAATCTTCTTCTTCTGTAATATTTGGAGGGGATTTCCTCTGGCATGTTAAATTATTACGTCTTAACAAGTAATGCGTCATACATCTACTTAATATACTTACATATCATTTGTCCCATAGCCTTCGTCCACCCAAAAACAATCTATAAGGCAGCCATTTGATTAGTTTTGGAATGTCCTCTCCTAACTGCATTATCGTCCTCAGCTAACGAGCCTCGTGTCGATATTAGTAATCCATCTAATGCATTTTTAAGTGTTTTGTTTTTCTTCAGAGACCTCCTGTCAAGTCTATGATCAGCTGATGAGTGTAAAATTGAAACGATAATCTCAGATAATCTTGTGCACCTAATAATGGGTTCTAGTGTGACAAAACTTTTCAGTAAACTGGAGGGTATCATAACAGGTAATGTTACTAATGATACAGCCCAGTACGAGTAAATCTTATCCGGTTGTTTATTTACCTCATCGAGAGTGGACGCAACACCCTATTAGAATATTCTGTCTTGTGGTGGGGTGGGGGACTTGACTTACTTTTGACTTAGTCCTCTTTGCTCCTAATGGAGAATAGGGCCTCAACCATTTCCTTCCATTTCTTCCTATCCTCGGCTATTAATTTTGACATCTCCCAAGACATCCCTGTTGGCTTCAGTTCTTCAAGAAGACTCCGCCTCCAGGTCTGTCTTGGGCGCCCTCTCTTCCATTTTCCCTGGGGGTTCCACTCAAGCGCTTGGCGTGTAATATTTATGTGAGCATTTCGCAGTGTGTGACCAACCCAGCGTCACTTCCTCCTTCTTATTTGCACACCTATAGGCTCCTGCCTAGCTTTCCTCCATAGTTCCAAGTTCGGCACTTTGTCCTGCCATCTCAGTTTCAGTATCTGTCTAAGGCATCTATTCATGAAGGTCTGTATCTTTGCTGTGCTTGCCTTGGAGACTCTCCATGTCTCTGCTCCATACAGCAGAACTGCCTTGACATTAGAGTTAAATATCCTAATTTTTGTGGTAATGGAGATGGCCGAACTGGCCGAACTTTTCCATATGGGGGAAGGTGGGGGGGGGGGGGAGATGAATTTGTGTGTAGATATAATGACGACGTATTGACATTATAGGTAAACGGGAATACATATTTGGACGGCCACTTTGTTATGTAGTGAATGTGACTTGATATTTGTTTTCCCAATTACCCGGGCATCAATGTGTAATCAGCTACATTGTCTGTTTCAAATATTATTTGGTATCTCCCTTTTCCACTTAAAGTGTTATATATTTACATACACACACACACACACACACACACACACACACACACACATATATATATATATATATATATATATATATATATATATATATATATATATATATATATATATACATATATATATATATATATATATACACATATACATATATACATACATATACATATACACACATATATATATATATATATATATATATATATATATATATATATATATATATATATATATATATATATATATATATACATATATTATATGCATACATATATATACATATATTATATGCATACATATATATACATAAATTATATACATACGTATAATACATATACATGTTGTACATGTACATATACATATGCATATGCATGTACATACACATACCTATATGTAATATTGTGTCCCTTTCTTCTATTTTTACCATCTTGCCTTGGACAAATTGGAATGATCACACAAGGTGCTTTCAATTCTTTCGGAAACCAAACGGTAAGCCTATACTAAGCACAACAAACACAACTGAGCATCAGAGCAATACGTAATTAGTTTAATTTGAGTGAAGTTTGGATGGGTGAAAATCGTCCTGTGCCTTTAATTAGCTAGTCGTTTGTATGTGATCCTGGCGTATTTGTATTGAACTCTGCCCCTGATTCGAACTCGAGTAATTTTATGCTCTATCCTCCAACCCCGTGTAATATAAATGGCAATGACTAATATCATGTGTGTACAACATGGCGGATTAATGGATTTCCTGTTTCATGTGGTTTACAAATTAATTCGATAAAGCTATTTACATTACGTAAGCCTTGATATTTTTTAACATATATATGTATCTAATATTTATGATCATCAGTATCCCCTACCACGCATTGATCTGCTTCTGATCGGAAAATCTGGGAACGGCAAAAGTGCAACAGGAAACACGATATTAGACCAAGAAAGATTCGTGTGCAAGTCAACTACGTCTGCTGAAACTCAAGCCATTGAATTCGGGATCACAGAACACGGCGGTTATCAGATCAAAGTCGTGGATGGTCTGACCGTCTGTGACTCCAGACTGGACGATGAACGGTCGGTCGAGCAGCTGAATGAGGCCGCGAAGTTAGCTCTTGCAGCCAACCCTGAAGGCTATCATGCCTTTCTTCTCGTCCTGAAATATGGGAACAGGTTCACACGCGAAGAACAGGACACGGTTCAAATTTTTAAGAAACTTTTCGGCGATGATTTTGTTAAAAATTTTTGTATCATAATCATCACTTGCGGGGATCTTTTCAATGCTGAGCAGAGTGCCAAAGGCACCGAAGGTTTAACTTTCCATGAGTGGTGTAATCAGCAGGAAGGTCCATTTAAGGATTTGTTTCTTGAATGCAACAGGGCGATTTTGTTTGACAACACGTGCACCTCCGAAGATGAAGTTGATGATCACGCTGATGATTTATTAGAGAAGGTTAATGAGATTTTATACGATCGACGCCATAAGCTTTCAGACAGATTTCAGCTAACTAAAGACATCGCTATACCTGACCCACAACAGACACAGACAACTGGCGAAGCCAAGAGAGAAGCAAGCAAAAGTCTAGATCTACAACACACCACACAGAACTCTACAGAGACAGACGACTTAATGTTACGTCAAGCTGTGCAGGAACTATCGGCCAAACAAGACGAAATTTTAACAGCACTTCGCGAACAGGCGCAGATTATCAACGCCCTACAGAAAAAGGTCTCCGACGAAAGCGATCTTTCACGGAGATTCATGGAAGAAATAAAACAACGTCGACAACAGGAAGAGGAGGTCAAAACAAACTTTCAACAAGAACTGAAAAACCAAAGAGAGGAATTTGAAAAACAGAATGAGATTTTGAGAAGTGATCGGACACACTTGCGTGAATTCGACTTTGACGTGGAGAGGAAATATGAAGATGTTGTGAAGGAAAGGAAGTTACAAAGGGCGAAGGGAATTCTGGAGAAAGTGGAAAAACTAAGGGGACGTACGAGACAGTTTCAAAACATTAGGGCAAGTCAGTTCCGGTTGGATTTTTAGGCACACCATAATCTTGTAGGGGTTAAGATTTTTAATCAGAATTTTGTGCTAGTTAAGATTTTTACTCAAATTATAATCTTGTATTGGGTATAACTTGTTTATGCTTCTTAGGCAAGGCCCAGTAGGGAGAGGTCTGTAGTATTTATTTACAATTTGAACTTTCATTGCTTATCAAAATAGAAATGGAAATATTTTAATATTCTTAAAAAAGTCCATCATCTGTTTTTTCCCCCCATATTTATCATTTTTCCCCCATCTAAAATGTATTGAGTTTAAAGGTAAATTTAATGAACAGTAATAGAGTTTAACTAAATTGGACGTATACAAAAATCATCTAAAGTAGTCTTCACTTGATTTTATAAACTTGTGTACTACATCTATGTGGCATGAATTTTTTAAACCGAATCAATGTTTACTTTTTGACATTCCATATCATATTTTTATTGATCCAATTTATTTATCATTTGAATAATAAATGTTATAATAATGAGCTTAGTCTTCTAATTTGATTTTTTTTGGACAACCTGTTCATACAACTATAACATGGCATAAAACAAATGTTAAAACTGATCTAATTCTTTAACTTGTTCACAGTCTTTCTTTTAGGCATTCCTTCGGGGGAGTGGGGTGCCCTCCGAAGCACGCCCACAACCCTCTCCCCCAGAACAATATTTTTGTATAGAAAATATATACTTTAACAAGTGTTCATCTCCCCTCTTTGAAAATGTAAGTACGAAAGTTTCAAGTGCTCACTCCCACCCCATGAGAAAAATGTCTGACAGAACCACTGCTTGTTCAAGATGGTGTATTCGATTGTTTTTGGTTGAATTAACTGCATAAGATTTCACGCCCATTTGGAATGTACATGAAAAAAATATATATTATGATCCAGATTTTAACTGATTGGCCAATTAACGACTGTGAGTTTATTAAATGCACACCTTATCGATGTGTGTGCTTTAGAATGTATTTGCGTGTTATATCGTGTGTACAAACAACATGCTATACTGTCCGCCAGAGTTCGAATTTCAATGATAAATCCAATAACTGGATACCTGAATGTAATCGTCAAGGCATAACTTCTGTAATTACGAGGTAATTGTAACACACACCATAAGTGTTAGCAATTACTTATTCAGATCAGTAAAGCCATTCATCTAATACGATATTGTAGTGTTTGTGTTTGATGAATGGACACCCCTTGGCTGTAGACTAAGTATGACACACTGAAAGAAAGCAACAGAATGTGTTGTGTTTCTATCAGCGTCAGCCCCTAAACAAACCCAACCCTAGTTGCTGACCACCAATATAACTACCGAGGCTGTGTTACCAAGAAATTAACACAACTTAATTTAGAAAAGGATAATAACTCGCCAATTTGGATTAAATCTAAATATTATCATAGAGTTTTAATACGAGCTTGCTTTTTTTACTTTCTCGTATACGAAATATAGCGGAAGTGTTGTAATAGTGCAAAAAATCAAATCGAATTTTTTACAAAACCCCTCACTTAAACCAACCTGGACAACCCCCCCCCCCCTCCCCCTTGACATAAACCCCCATGGACAACCCCCCCCCCCCTCCGAATTAAAGTTTATATAAAGGTTATATATATACAGAAATCCAAACGTTAACAAGAGCAAAACAGCAATATGAAGTGTATAGTTTATACATCATTTTGTAATTTAATCAATTTATATTTTAACTACTAGCAAAATAGATTATACTTAAAATAATGTCATTTGGCGGTAAAAAAAAAAATGACCATACTTAAATTAGATCAAAGAGCGGGTTCTTGTGCTAAGAATGTGCCTACATTGGCTTTTGTGACAAAACAAATGTAATACCCTCGACCAATTAACTGAAACCTTTCTCCTAAAAGCATCGCCAATGGCAGATTATTTTGATGACTACTGCCACAACGTCAAGAAAGGACACACAATTTTTTCACTTGATATGTGATAATTCCACATGCGTGCAGAAGGATATATGCCGAAACCAAACTCAGTTGAAGACTGACACAGGAGTTTCCAGCCAATTATTGGGATGTTACTATCCCAATATTTGGAAATTCTTTGACTTAATATAATAAATCGTTGGTTATCTCCCCTAAACTATCTCGAATATTCATAATAATAATTATTAATATATAACACTAATTGCTATTCCACTAAAGCATCTAGAGATGTAGACAATATTTTTAATCCATTTTTAATTACTTAAACTTTTTAAAATAGAATAGAATCTCGTAGAAAAAAAGAATTGCGCAATAAGTGAACGCCAAACAATATGTGTATAATAGTGCGGGGCATTATTAGTAGGCCCTACTTTATAAATTCACATGTGTTTTTTTTTGGGAAATCGGAAGTAGCGTAATTTACTACTTCCAGTCAACGGAAATTACTCAAAATTTACAGAAGGCAGAAAATTAAATCTTTTACTTACATATGAAAATTCATTTATCTATCTGAAACAGAACTCAAGTTATAGGCTTTTGAAAAATTGAAAGTAGAATAAGTTCCACTTACGGTTACCGGAAATCGATGAAAAGTTGAAACAGATCTACACAATTGATATAATACTTATATATAAAATTTCATTAACCTAGCTGTAACGGTCCTCACGATATCGTGTTCACAGACATATATACACATACACACACACAGACATACGGACAGAATTGCAAAGTCCAGAGCATTAGTGCAAGCATCAAATGAAGGTCGCATTAGAAATTGCCAAGCGAAAACAATAAAATACGAGAAAATCTCATCAACCCCTGCATGTTTAAGATGGTAAAATTAATTTTTGGCGATTCCAGTGCAGTAGAGATGAAACAATAATCTGTCTAATAATACTATTCAGCAGCTTATAGCACATATGTCCGTAGATGTTAAAGAACAAATTTTGAATGAAATTAAGCTTTCACCATTGTTTGTTTTTCAAGTTGATGAATCAACAGACAACAGTTTGTGTTCGAAGTTGCTTGCCTTTATGAAATATATTCATTCAGATGATAGCAAAGAAAAGTTGCTATTTTTGTGAAGATATATATATATATATATATATATATATATATATATATATATATATATATATGTATATATATATATATATAATATATTTAATATATATATATATTATATATATATATATATATATATATATATATATATATATATATATATATATATATATATATATATATATAATATATTATATATATATATATATATATATATATATATATATATATATATTTATATATTTATATATATAGATATATTATAAATATATATATATATTTATATATATAGATATATTATAAATAAATATATATATTATATTATATATATATATATATATATATATATATATATATATATATATATATATATAAAAGCAATGTATGTGTGTGTGTTTGTTTGTTTGTCTGTCCTTTATGCATTACTATACCTCTCGTCACATCGCCGTGAAACTTTGGGAAGTTGTTGAGAATATTCCTGGGGAGGTTTCTGCGAAAAAAAAATGTCAAATTCGCAGGGCTGGCGCCCCGGCAGGGCGCGATTTGTTTTTCTCTATATACCGTATATAAAAATAAAAGTCGATTTTGGTTTGGCATCGTTCATCCGATAGCCATGAGACTTTGGGGAGTTCATTATACCACTCTAGGGAAGGGTTCTGTAAAAAAATAATTTTTAATTTCGCAAAGGCGGCGCCACGGGAGGGTCCGATTTTTCTCTATATACGGTATATAAAAATAATAAAAGTGAATTGCAGTGACACCGTTCATCCGATAGGCATGAAACTTTGGGGAGTTCATTATACCACTCTAGAGAAAGGTTCTGTAAAAAATAATTTTTAATTTCGCAAGGGCGGCGCCACGGGAGGGTCCGATTTTTCTCTATATACTGTTTATAAAAATAAAAGTCTATTTCGGTTTCACATCGTTCATCCGTGTACCATGAAACTTTGGGGAGATGATTAGATCACTCAATGGTAGGGTTCTGCAAAAAAATATTGTTTAATATTGCAAGGGCGGCGCCCCCAGGGGGAGCGATTTTTTTTCTCTATACACGGTATATAAAAAATAAAACTCGGATGCGGTTCATCCGAGTGCCATGAAACTTTAGGAAGTAGATGAGAATACTCCCGAGAATATTTCTGCGAAAAAGAAAACTAAAGTTTCTTATGGGTTTCATATAGGGTACAACTTTCGTCAATACACGGTTTGGCGCCCAGAGTTTTAGAGCGACTATGTTGGCACTTGGCACCCGTTAATCGAGCGTCCTGCATAGCGAGTAAGGGGTACTACTATACTCAGCGGTAAAACTACAACAGTCTTCTAAAAATAACTTTGTAACGCGAGGAAATCCTTCTGTACAGTTTCGTCACCTAGCCAAAGATGAAAAAATAACTTTTTGAATATGAGGAGCCTACTGTAGAGTTTCGTCACTTTGCCAGTGATGCAATAAGCATCTACTATTAGAAAATCCAGTCAGAAATTGAGATCGAGCATCTAATAATAAACCATTAGTAACGCTAGCATATTTCATCAGTCACACTGATGTTTAAAACATGTCTTTTTTACGTGTTAAAGAAAAAAAGCCTGTTCATTTGTGGCACTTTAGCGAATGATGAAATCTGCATCATTATTAACAGGATGCTATTTGGCACGATGGCGCCTATTACTTTTAAGGAGCCAGGGGTCGTACGCCGCGCCTATGCGGTAGTGTAATCTGGGGGGGGGGGAACGCCCCTGTACATCTCTGACACATGGGCGGTCACCGAAGTGTGTTCTAACATATTATTTCGGTGAGTGATTAATGTACACTCAATGTTTACATGCGGTAGTGTAGGTAAACCTGTGTCCCAATATTTATGAATTAAGCCCAGGCTTTGTTTACATTTTAATAACTCACTTTTAGAAAAGACGGTCACGCGTCTAAGAACATGATTGGTAACGCGTTGGTGAAATCTTTCTAATACATTTCGTCATACTTTCTTCTATCCCCGCGGCAACGCGCGGGGGACGGGTACGCTAGTATATATATATATATATATTATATATATATATATATATATATATATATATATATATATATATATATATATATATATATATATATATATATATATATATATATATATATATATATATATATATATATATATATGTGTGTGTGTGTGTGTATTTGTGTTGGTATATATATAAATATATAAATATATATATATATATATATATATATATATATATATATATATATATATATATATATATATATATATAATTGTGTGTATGTGAGTGTGCGTGTGTGTAAGCTTGTGTGCGACAATCCGGAAAAAGTTTAATAATTAGGGTGTATGATTTTTGTTCCTTAAACTTTAACTCTAAGCCAATTAGATTCTCATTAAGATGCGTTTTCCTTTTACAAAAGATTAGAAATGTAAGAAAAAAAAGTATTCCTGATCTGAGTTTAGAGGGTAGTTTGTAGTAAGCACTTATTTATTTAGACCAGCCTTTTATGTTCTATCTTTGGAACAGTTTCTTTTGTAATGTGGTACACAGATGGATCATAAGTTTGTTAAAATAAGGTCATACAAGTAACATACAAGATCAACTTATCAGAAACATTTATTGTATGCATCGGTTGATTGTACAACGAAACAAGTTAGAGGAAGCAAACTGGAATCCAACAGCTCGAAGTCTTGGATTTCTTATTTTCGCGCTGTCTTCTCGTACACAGTCAATAACAAATGCAGAACTAATTGTACTGATTGAAGAAGCTGTTATAACCAGTTTAATGATAGTGGCACCGCCCATGGCGTTCTGTATTATAATCAGCAGCAATAAAACGCGTTTTTACATTCTAAGTTTGTAATTCAAATGCATTGTCAAAAAAATGTAATCAGGATCTATAGCTAAATGTGAAGTCTCTTTTACTGTATGGCTCGGAGCTAGGTTACAGACAGTGCACAAATAAGAGTATGGAAAAAGTGGTGGTTAGGGCACAATATTAGATAGACAATAAACAACATCACTAAGCAGGTGCTGATGTCAAGTCCACGGGGAAAGAGGAAGAGAAGGAGACAAAAAGTCCTGAAGGAAATCGTTTGAAATAGTGAAGGGAAGACGATTATCAGGATTCGCATGTTAATAAAACGAGTTGACAAAGCATTGCCTACGCCTATGCTCCTTAGGATACCGAAACGAATAAAAAAGAAGAAATCAAAAGAGTTTAGAGCAGTGATTCTTAATAGAGGTTCGGTAAGTCAGTCTCATGGCACACACCCGACTCATAGGATTCAAGATCAGATTTTGTCAATGTGGACGATAAAACTATTAAGAAAAGTTCAGTGAAGGCGTATATGAAACAGGTAAGTTTCGGTACCTCCAAAAAGGTTAAACACCACTGTTTTAGAGTGTCGTTTGTAAAATGTGCAAGCTTATTTGGTCTACTTTTGGTCTTGTCTTTAGAAGAATTTCGATAACATTGTATTACAGCTTGAAATTATCAGCTATGTTGAACAAAGTAACAAAACATTAGCAGTCGTCGTACAATTTTCCATCTCTTGGTAGGTCTAGTGGCCTTAACTTTATGAAAATTGCAGTATTAGGACATGTTATGAAACAAGCAATAACAAAATGGTCAATTCAGTACAATAACCTAATTTTTTTAGCTCTTAAAATTTCGGCACGAGTATCGTCTTCCACCCACCCACTTTGGCCGTAAGCTATTTTACTGATCTGTTCAATAATACGTGATTTTTATTTCTCTTTAGTACAGTGATTCAGGCAATGCCATCAAGTAAAAGTATCTGATTTCTCACGTTGAAGTTGAGAGAATCGTAAGAATCTTACAAAGAACTAGTCGCGTCATTTCTTAACAAAAGTGGCTAGTGAAATTGAACATTACGCGTTAATACAATTGGTTTCTACTCTAAGTGTGAACAGTGTTAAGCCATAAACGGCTATGTAGACCAAAAACATATGTAAACAAATGTAATACAACTCGGGGCGACAACTTCCACGTGTATACTACATAAGTACTCGGGTGTAATATCTTCAGTGATGTAATCTATGGTTGTTTACATTTGTTTTAGGGTTACTGTCTACATAGCCGTTTATGGCTTGGACATTTATGAATTATCTGTATACGAAGTTACAATAAAGCTAGGATATATCAACCAAAGTGTCAATTCGTTGTGTGCTATCTCTCAGGGTCAGCCCTTTTAAACACCACACCTCAGTGAGTGATATCATCCCTTCTGAGGCAGTATTACGCAAATCTTTGCGAGAATAGATTTTCAACACTTTTCCAATTAAAAACAAAACATAGAAGTAAATTACGTGTTGAGAATGACATGGGGTTGGCGTTAACAAAAACTTAACTGCGAATGGTGAGGCTAGTTAGTAGCATGAAATTTTACTCATCCTATTAAAAGAGTTATCAATATTTATTCATTTTGAAAGTCTACAAGTAAATCTTACTTTAGTCCTTATAAAGTTTTCTTATTAATTTTGACTTTAAAATTCCATGGGGATCTTATTTCAATTACTTTTTGTTAAAGGGGGTCGACACTCGAAAAAGTTTGGGAACCACTGCTATAAGTAATTCTGAATTCTGATACGGGCAGCCTAGTCTATCATCCATCCTATTTTGTCTTGCCTCCTTTGCCATATCCCTACTGTACTAGTTTTTGATTAACACCACAGTACAATATTATGCACGTTTCCGATTGCGCACCATGATAGAACCAAATCCCGCGCAGTTTGTATCGAGTGCTAAACAACTGACATAGTTACAGACCATTTTGATCTTACAGAGAGAAATAATTACAAACATTCTTTGTGTTGGCGGGTTTTCTTATTGAAAGTTATAAATTGAAGAGGTAAAAATAAACCTTAAATTAAATCGATGATTAGCATTGTGGATTTTGTGTTTAAATACAATGATACATAGATCTAGATCTACTTCAGTAGCATATTGAATCTTATACGGTTGTCAAAGGGAATCTATCATTTTAGGTACGTACAATCGGCCGATGCTAATAATGTGAAAAAAAGTGTGAGTCATTATGAAGTTAATAATGGAGGCGAGCGAGTTGACGAGATTCCTTCCATAATGTTGTTGACATGGAATAAAAACGTGCTTTTTAGATTTAGACCGTAAAAAAAAATAAAAAATAAAAACTTAAGACTAAAATTAATTTAGAAATTTTATATTTTTAGAATAAATGCTATAAAAGTTGCAAATCCAGAGAACTTGAAAATAATTTGTTGAGTTTAAGGCTACATTTCTATTTATTTTCATCAAGCCTAAGTTATAACCGGATGTTTCACTTTCGTAAGACAAATATTGATTGGCTGTACAGTAACTTAGTGATCGATAACTATTTGTTTACAAAACTTTGCAGATCAAGTTTTTAAATAACAATGCAAATTTAAAACCCAATGACCTAGTTTTCTATTTTTAGCTTACAATGTGTACAATAAAATCTATGGCGGCCTATCCAATGTTTATGTCGCCATTATACGTGAAAACCAAATTGTTTTTGCTTTTTTTTTTTAATTTTTATTTAGTTACCGAAAATATTATAAACATCAAATATATCCAATCTTTTGTAAAAAGTCCGAAAAATACCAGACTGACAGGATTTTATAACCATATTAATTGTAACTACGCTGTGCATGATTTTTAAATGAATTTATACACCTCTCAAATACCTTTGAGACTTTTCTCGCTGGTGTCCATTAGATCTATATCGCATTTTTAGGAGGATTTATTTTTGAAAGTAACAAAATGTTTTAAAGTTTCATTCATGTATTTGTTTTTAAAGAATTCTACAACTTTTCAGTAATAAATAAAGACTATCGATGTATTCATCAGATGTTACCAAGCTCATTTACTTTTGCAGCCATCTTGTTTTCTTTTCTTTTTTTGGTAAAATTATAGCTAGAAATTAACGAGAAACCACTGTTTAAATAGCAAATCTTGCTCGCAAACACCGTTGTTTAAAGTTAAATTATGACCTATTTTGATAATATTATAATGGTATTTATATATCATTGCTTTTGTTTATTAATAAGTTATCTATTATATTTGACACACATATATCACAATATATATTTGATATATACCTATATATATATATATATATATATATATATATATATGCATATATCACAATATACTTGAATTAAAGCCATAACAATGAGGCAACTTTTTTTCACATTACTAACCCCAGCCAGTTTTTCGCACCTAAAACGATAGATTACCGCAAGTAATCAGGGTACCACTGGGGTGTGAATAGTACGTCGACCACAGGGTCCTACTGGGGGGGGGGGGGGTGGTAGTAGTAATTAGAACACAGGGTCCAACTTGAATGAGGTGGGGTAGTATGTCTAGTATTGTAAAGTACACAGTCATCCTTGAGGTGTGGGGTAGAGAGTCAACTCATTAGTCCAGAGAGCTGGGTGGTACGTTGACCATAGAGTATTACATAGTCGTATTGGAAAAACGGTGGGGTAGTACTTCGACCACAGTGACTGGGTGGGTATCCTTAACATTTGTAATGATGAGCTACATTTGTGTAGAGGACCTGAGTGGGTCTAATAAAGAAAAAGTAAAATAGTAAATATTTTTAATTTTTTTTTAGCTAATTAAAAAAATGCTTCTATTGAAGAAGGTTGTGTATAAAAGCCTCGTCATTTCCAAATATGACTCCAGTTTCTGTTTAGAACAAGTGGTGACAGAATAGAAGTTTTAAAATAGGCTAAATTAACTGCACGTGGCAATTTGAAAAATAATTACTCGATTTTTTGTTACGATAATACATATGTCCTCAACAATGGCACGTTGCCAGTGAGTGCAACAGTGACCTAGATCCTGATGTCTGGTATAATATATTAAGTAGGCAGCACTTCGCCCAGACATCTTTACCTTCCGTAACGTGAGTCAGGTACCCGTCAGAGCTGGGTGGACTCAGGGACGTCCTATGGACTCGAGTGAATGTTGTTGCTGCGGCTGTGTTGGTCACACATCAAGGGCGTGTCATGAGACACATCAAGGACGTGTCCTGAGACACATCAAGGGCGTATCCTGAGACACATCAAGGGCGTATCCTGAGACACATCAAGGGCGTATCCTAAGACACATCAAGGGCGTATCCTGATACAGCAAAATGTGGTTATAGAATTTGCCAATCTAAAACTTACACATGAGAGTGAGGTGAAGCAGGGATGCAAACGGATTCGCTTCACTTCACTTCACCCTCTGTAGCTCATGTGTGAGCAAATGGCTGCATATTGATAGTATGAAGATATTTGCAACTTTATAAATAATCTTCTTCTTCTTCGATCTTAACTGTAATATTTGGATGGGATATCCTCTGGCATTTTAAATTATTACTTGTCTAATACGTCATGCATCCGTCTTAATATAGGCCTACTTCCAAGCCTTTGTCCACCCAAAAAAAATCTTGGAATTTCCTCTTACGGATGGATTATCTTTCCCAGCTAACGAGCCTCATCTGTTGGTAAACGTTATCCCTCTAATGCATTTTTCAACAGTGTTTCTACCAGCCTTTTTTTCTCCGGGACGGGGGGGGGGGCTGAGCGGGAACTAGGGGGGGGGGGGCGGACACTGGTATGTATGTGATTTCTATATATAAATTTTATTTCGTTCGAGGGGGGGGGGGGGCTGTAGACTTTCGCCGGGAGGGGGGGGGGGGTGACGCCCCACCCACTCTTCCTAAGCTATGCCTGAAAGAAACTCTGTTTTTCTAGTGTTTTTCTTCACACAGAGACCTCCTGTCAAGTTGATGAAAATGGGTTCTAGTGTGACAACCCTTTACACTAAAGTGGGTGATATCGCAACAGGTAATGTTACAAATGATACAGCCCATTACGGGTAAATCTTATACGGCTGTTTATTTACCTGCAACTCATCGACAGGTTACGCAACACCCTACCGAAATCTTTCGTCTTGTGTATATGTGGGGGCGGGGAGGGAGAATGGCGGGGGGGGGGGGGGGATGACGACACGGACGAACGACCACACCTTCTTTGTTTTGTTTCTTAATTTTTCTTTTCAATCGTATTTCTTCGCTTTCGATGTATTCTTTAAAAAGGTTTACTATGTCTCCTTCAGCCACGATGTCTAGAATAAATAATATCTCTTTGACCAAATGTTAAGGTGATTAGGGTGGTAGTGTCGATATCTCCTCAATGTATCGGGTGCTGTTATTTAAAAAAAATTCAACTACGGTGACATTTAATACAGCTCTTTCTTTTTACATATTCTTATTAATTAAATAAAACTAATTGTAACTATGTTATAAATAGGGGTTATGATCCAGAAAAAAACCACGTCAAATTAAATAATTTTGTAGAATTGCATGTTCCTTAATAGCAACGCTGGTAACAGTGCCATTAATTTTTGCTTAGCATCGAATGTAAGATAAACTATTGGCCAAGGTATTGAAAAAAAAGGAACTCGATTGGATTTTTAAAATAAAAGACGCTTCTATTTAGTCAGTAATTTCAGTTTTCCCATTTCGTTTCATTTTGACTGATCGGTTTATGTAAATTTATAACTGTAAACTCGAAACTGTGACCATCCATGTACCAACCCTGTGTCTTTATTTGTACCAGAATTTCAACTACGGCGGAATCGGAGTTAAAGTAGAATTTATGCAGCTAGGTTTTTATTTTCTCGTATATAAGAAGTATGGAGAAAGTATAGTAATCTTGAAAAAAAGATTGAATGATTTTTGAAAATCTCGACGTTTTACGCCTCCCTGAGACGGAGATTCCATTCTATTTTTAAAAGTTTAAGTAATTAAAAAATGGATTAAAAATATTGTCTATATCCCGAGTTGCCATCCCCGGTAGTGTTATTGGAGAATATTCGAGATAGTTTAGGGGAGATCACTCACGGTTTATTTAAAAATTGATTGCAGCTGTGATTATTTATTAAGTTTGCGAACTAATAAAGACGATTTTTGCGCTAAAGTTCGGGACCTCTTCAAAAGGCTCTCCACCATCCGCCATCCAAGCTATTCTGGAATGGACGAAATACTACTTATGTTTAACTTCGTTTTCCTAGTGGTCTTACAGTTTTAGAAAATTGATTTAAATCAAAACATTTGGAAAAATAGAAATTCTGCATTTTACATAAAAAATCTTTGTAAATACCGTGATATTAAAAATCGTAATTTGGCTTAAAGAAAACTTTTGTGTTTACTTTGGGAGCCTACAACCAAATGTAACCCCGTGGTATTTTTGTCGTATCTCATTGTAACCAAGTGGGATTTTTGTCAAATATCCTTGTAACCAAATGGTATTTTTGTCGCATCTCACTGTAACTAATTGGTATTTTTGTCAAATATCCTTGTAACCAGGTGGTATTTTTTTATTTTTGTCAAATATCATTGTAAGTAAGAGGTATTTTTTTCGTATCTTATGGAAAATAAACCGGGAGTCATCTTCCCTAAACTTTCTCAAATATTCTTATATAACAAACTTTCTAAATTAGAATAGAATCTCGTAGAAAAAAAAATGCGCGCCAAGTGAAAGGCAAACAAAATGTGTATAATATTGCGGAATATTATTAGTATTTAATAATTTCATAAGCGTTTTTTTTTTGAGAAAACGGAAATAGCGTAAGCTGCTACTTACGGTCAACGGAAATTACTCAAAATTTGAAAGATGGCGGATACCTAGATCTTTTACTCACATGTCAAATTTCATTTATCTGTATGAAACACTACTCAAGTTATAGGCTTTTTACAACTAAATGTACTATAAGTTCCTCTTCCGGTTATCGGAATTTGAAACGGAATTACAAATTTAATATAATACTTAAATATGAAATTTCATCAACCTAGCTGTAACGGTACTGAAGTTATCGTGTTCACAGACACATACACACACAGACATACGGACAAAACTGCAAAACTTTTTTCCGACTCAGGGAGGTGTAAAACGATTACAATACTTCCTCTAAACTTCGTATACGAGAAAGTAATTAAAATTTATCTGGCCTGTCAAACTAAAACCAACCATATTAATGTTTTTCTGGAATTTTTATTTATGGATTTTGTTATAACTTGATTTAATGATTTGAGGATTTAATTTCAGTTTTTCTGCCATTGTTTTCGTAACGTTCCGGCGACGACGAAAAAGGAAATTCATTCAAAATCTATTTCATTATCTAAAATAGTAATGAAAAAAAAATACTTCAGTATTTTTCACGAGTGAAAAAAAACAACAACATAATAATCAATAAGCGATAATATATTTTCAAAAAAGTTAGCAACATTTTTAAATTCTCCTCCGAGGTCCAAAATGGTAGATAAGATAAATATTTTATGAGGGTATTGCTTCTATGAAATAAAACTTTCTGCTTAGGGGAAGGGGTGCTCGTCTGAAGTGTGAAGTTTTATGGCGTGATAGAGCTGAATTTGTTTGTCGATATATTGACGACGTATTGACATTATTGATAAACGTAAATACATTTTTGAACGGCATCAATGTGTAATAAGCTGCATTGGCTCTTTCAAATATCTCCCTTTTCGACTTTACGTTATATATATATGTATATATATATATATATATATATATATATATATATATATATATATATATATATATATATATATATATATATATATATATATATATATATGTACATGTACATGTACATGTACACGTACACGTACACATACACATACACATACACATACACATACACATACACATACACATACACATACACATACACATACACATACACATACACATACACATACACATACACATACACATACACATACACATACACATACACATACACAAACACGCACACGCACACGCACACAGACACAGACACAGACACAGACACAGACACAGACACAGACACAGACACATACACATACACATACACATACACATACACATACACATACACATACTCATGCACATGCACATGCACATGCACATGCACATGCATATGCACATGCACATGCACATGCACATACATATACACATACACATACAGACACATGCACATGAACATGAACACGAACATGCACATGAAAATGCACATGCACATGCACATGCAAACGCACATGCACATGCACACGCACACGCACACGCAAAGACACAGACATAGACATATACATATACATATACGAACATGTATATATATATACATACATTTTTATATACATTTAAATAAATAAATATAGACATAATATATATATATATATATATATATATATATATATATATATATATATATATATATATATATACATATATATATATATACATACATTGTGTCTTTTACTCCCATTTATAAATCAGCTTTCCATGGACAAAAAAGAATAATCACACAAGATGTTGTAAATCCTGTCGAAGACCTAACGGTAAGCCTGTAATAGACACAACAGAGACATTTGAGCAATTGACTTTTTAAACTCTCCTCTGTACAATTTTCTTCTGCACTACAATGCTATCAGACCACTTAACACTTAGGATATAATCTTCAGTACCTCAAGTTTAGTAGACATAGTATGATGAAAAACTGCGGTGTGTGTGTGGGGGGGGGGGGGCACAAATAGATGGCCGTAATGTTAACTCGAAATATACAGAATCGGTTCCAGGGCTCTAGAACAGTTCTATGGGCTATGATCCAACCACGTGTAATATAAATGGCAATGACTAATATCATGTGTGTACAATAGAGCGGATTCAATGATTCTATCCTGTTTTGTGTGGTTTACAAATAAATTCGATATAAAGCTATTTACATATGTAAGCCTTGAAATTTTTAACATGTACATGTATCTAATATTTATGATCACCAGTATCCCCTGCCACGCATTGATCTGCTTCTGATCGGAAAATCTGGGAACGGTAAAAGTGCAACAGGAAACACGATATTAAGCGAATATAAATTCGTGTGCAAGTCAAGTACGTCTGCTGTAACTCAGGCCATTGAATTCGGGATCACAGAACACGGCGGTTATCAGATCAAAGTCGTAGATGGTCTGACTGTCTGTGACTCCAGCCTGGACGATGAACGGTCGGTCGAGCAGCTGAATGAGGCCGCGAAGTTAGCTCTTGCAGCCAACCCTGAAGGCTATCATGCCTTTCTTCTCGTCCTGAAATATGGGAACAGGTTCACACGCGAAGAACAGGCGACGGTTCAAATTCTTAAGAAAGTTTTGGGCGATGATTTTGTTAAAAAATTTTGTATTTTAATCATCACTTGCGGGGATGCTTTCAATGCTGAGCAGATTGCCAAAGGCACCGAAGGTTTAACTTTCCATGAGTGGTGTAATCAGCAGGAAGGTCCATTTAAGGATTTGTTTCTTGAATGCAACAGGGCGATTTTGTTTAACAACAAGTGCACCTCCGACCTAGAAGTTGATTATCACGCTGATGTTTTATTAGAGAAGGTTGCAGAGATTTTATTCGATCGACGCCATAAGCTTTCAGACAGATTTCAGCTAAATAAAGACACCGCTATACCTGATCCACAACAGACACTGACAAAAGACGAAGTCAAGAGAGAAGCAAGCAAAATTCTTGATCCACAACATACCACACAGAACTCTACAGAGGCAGATGACTTAATGATTAGTGCTTGTCAGTGTAAGGATTTAATTTAAGTTTTTCTGCGGTTATTTTCATAACGCTCCGGCGACGACGAAAAACGAAATTCATTTGCATTTAACCCTAAATCTATTTTAATATATAAAATAGTACTGAAAAAAAATACTTCAATATTTTTCACCAGTGAAAAAAACAACAACATAATACTCAATAAGCGATAATATATTTTCAAAAAAGTTAGCAAAATATTTTAATTCTCCTCCGTGGTCCAAAACGGTAGATTATATAAATATTTTATGCGGGTATTGCTTCTATGAAATAAAATTTGTTGCTAAGGGAAGGGGTGCTCGTCTTAAGTGTAAAGTTTCATTGCGTGATAAAGCTGAATTTGTGTGTCGATATATTGACGACGTATTGACATTATAGATAAACGGAAATACATTTTAGAACGGCATCAATGTGTAATAAGCTGCATTGGCTGTTTCAAATATTATTTGGTGCCTCTGTTTTAAACTTTACGTTTTATATATATATATATATATATATATATATATATATATATATATATATATATATATATATATATATATATATATATATATAAAATATTGTGTCCCTTTTCTCCCATTTAAAATCAGCTTGCCTTGGACAAAATGGAATAATCACGCAAGATGTTGTAAATCCTGTCGAAAACCAAACGGTAAGCCTGTAATAGACACAACAAATACAATTGTGCAATTGAGTTTTTGAACTCTCCTCTGTACAATTTTCTTCTGCACTACAATGCTATCAGACCACTTAACACTTAGGATATAACCTTCAAAACTTCAAGTTTAGTAGACATAGTATGAAGAAAAACTGCGGTGTGTGTGTGGGGGGGGGGGGGGGGGGGCACAAATAGATGGCCGTAATGTTAACTCGAAATATACAGAATCGGTTCCAGGGCTCTAGAACAGTTCTATGGGCTATGATCCAACCACGTGTAATATAAATGGCAATGACTAATATCATGTGTGTACAATAGAGCGGATTCAATGATTCTATCCTGTTTTGTGTGGTTTACAAATAAATTCGATATAAAGCTATTTACATATGTGAGTCTTGAAATTTTTAACATGTACATGTATCTAATATTTATGATCACCAGTATCCCCTGCCACGCATTGATCTGCTTCTGATCGGAAAATCTGGGAATGGTAAAAGTGCAACAGGAAACACGATATTAGGCGAATATAAATTCGTGTGCAAGTCAAGTACGTCTGCTGTAACTCAGGCCATCGAATTCGGGATCACAGAACACGGCGGTTATCAGATCAAAGTCGTAGATGGTCTGACTGTCTGTGACTCCAGACTGGACGATGAACGGTCGGTCGAGCAGCTGAATGAGGCCGCGAAGTTAGCTCTTGCAGCCAACCCTGAAGGCTATCATGCCTTTCTTCTCGTCCTGAAATATGGGAACAGGTTCACACGCGAAGAACAGGCGACGGTTCAAATTCTTAAGAAAGTTTTGGGCGATGATTTTGTTAAAAATTTTTGCATTTTAATCATCACTTGTGGGGATGCTTTCAATGCTGAGCAGATTGCCAAAGGCAACGAAGGTTTAACTTTCCATGAGTGGTGTAATCAGCAGGAAGGTCCATTTAAGGATTTGTTTCTTGAATGCAACAGGGCGATTTTGTTTGACAACAAGTGCACCTCCGACCTAGAAGTTGATTATCACGCTGATGATTTATTAGAGAAGGTTGAAGAGATTTTATTCGATCGACGCCATAAGCTTTTAGACAGATTTCAGCCAGTGGCGTAGGCAACGGTGATGACGCACTCACACCCCTATATATATATATATATATATATATATATATATATATATATATATATATATATATATATATATATATATATATATATATATGATTTCATGCATGGAACATTTTTAAACCCCTCACATGATCAATTCCTGGCTACTCGGAAAATTTCCGTTAACTAAAGATACCGCTATACCTGATCCACAACAGACACTGACAGCAGGCGAAGTCAAGAGAGAAGGAAGCAAAAGTCTTGATCCACAACATACCACACAGAACTCTACAGAGGCAGATGACTTAATGTTACGTTACACTAAAGCTGTACAGGAACTATCGGCCAAACAAGACGAAATTTTAACAGCACTTCGCGAACAGGCGCAAATCTTCAACGCCCTACAGAAAAAGGTCTCCGACGAAAGCGATCTTTCACGGAGATTCATGGAAGAAATAAAACAACGTCGACAACAGGAAGAGGAGGTCAAAACAAACTTTCAACAAGAACTGAAAAACCAAAGAGAGGAATTTGAAAAACAGAATGAGATTTTGAGAAATGATCGGACACACTTGCTGGAGTTCGACTTTGACGTGGAGAGGAAATATGAAGATGTTGTAAAGGAAATGAAGTTACAAAGGGCAAGGGGAATTCTGGAGAAAGTGGAAAAATTAAGGGGACGTGCGAGACAGTTTCAAAACATTAGGGCAAGTCAGTTCCGGTTGGATTTTTAGGCACACAATAATTTTGTGGGAGTTTAGATTTTTAATCATCATCTTGTGGGAGCTAAGATTTTTAGTCAAATTATAATCTTGTGTTGGGTATAACTTTTTTATGCTTCTTAGGCACGAACCAGTAGGGGTGAGGGGTATATTATCTATTTTAAATGTGCCTTTTCATTGCTTCTCACAGCAAAAATGGAAATATTTTAATATTCTTTAAAACTTTTATCATTTGTGTTTTTTTTAATTAAATTAATTTATTCCCGTTTGAAATGTGTTTAGTTTAAACGTAAATTTAATAAACATTAATAAGGTTAAACTAATATTAAAAAACTCATCTAAAGTAGTCTTCACTTGATTTTATAAACTTGTGTACTTGTCAGGTGCCCTCCGAAGCACGTTCATACCGCCCTACCCCATCCCAATTTAAAATAGAACAATATTTTTAAATATAAATATATACTTTAGCAAATGTCCATCTCCCCTCTTTGCAAATGTAAATACGAAAGCTTAAAGTGCTTATTCCCCCCCCCCGGACAAAAATTGTCTGAAAGTACCACTGCTTGTTTAAGATGGTGTATTCGTCTGCTTTGGTTGTTTTCACGTCCGTTTGGACTGTACATGAAACAACTTTACAATCTAGATTTGAGCTAATTGGTCAATTAAAGACTATACGTTTATTAGATGCACAACTTCTCGATTTGTGTGCTTTTGGATGTATTTGGATCTTATGTCGTGTGTATAAACTAAGAGTAATGCTATACTGTCGGCTATAGTCCAAGTGTCCCTCTCGTGACATATATACCCATTCGGCCTTGGTGGACTCAGGGACGTTCTCCGTACTTGAACACGGATTCGAACTTAAGATTTAGCAATTGCATGCTCTACCATTCGACTACTCCGTCCAGTCTATGACTTCTTCTGATTTGGAAATTATTCTGTTATGAAATAAGCTAAATTAGTGCTCCACATCAATACAAGCATAACACAGAGGTAAAAGATTTTAATTCACACTACAGCTCGAACATTTTCAGTGGGAAATTATATAGCCAGGATTTTGATTTTCTCAGGCAAGATAGCTATGGAACACATATAGATTGATGGATCATGTTATTTATTGGCAATCGTAAAGAAAACCAGTAAATACTGATAACATTATAGAAGGTGTGGGGGAGGGAGGAAGAGGCTTGCGATGGACCGCAGCTGTTGAAACCACGGGGGGGGGGGGGGAGGGGGGAGGATTGTGATGGACAACAGCTGTTGAAACCACGGGGGGAGGATGGGGAGGATTGTGATGGACCGCAGCTGTTGAAACCATGGGGGAAGGGAGGGGGGTGGAGGATTGTGATGGACCGCAGCTGTTGAAACCACGGGGGGGGGAATGGGGGGGGAGGATTGTGATGGACCGCAGCTGTTGAAACCACAGGGGGAGGGGGGGGGTGGAGGATTGTGATGGACCGCAGCTGTTGAAACCATTTAAGGGGGTGACGTGTTAACATACATTATTATACATAGAAGAATAGCACACATCAATCCACGGGGGAAGGGGGCGGGGGGTGAGGTTATCGATGTCACCCGACCTAGTGACATCATAGAGTGCCCCTCATCCCTAGACCACAATGCCCGGAAGAAACCAGGGACTACGGCAAGGACACATCTGCCTCTCCCAAGTGTCCCCCCCCCCCCTCCCATTCTTTTCACACAACGGTAATATCAAAAAGTGGTGAGCTGTATGTTATAACATAAGTTGATATAAGTGAAAGACTATGGTGAAATAATGACCCAAGTAAACTCATGTATATAGCACCAATACTTACAATTAATAAAAAAATGTAGTTTATACTTGGTTATTTTAAAATCAGAGCGTCTTTCAGGTATGAAATACGTCCACAACACCCTTTAAAATTTAAATTTAAATGCACCCTCCTCCGAAAGTTTCAAGTGCCCCAGAAAAATGTCTGAAAGAAACACGGTTTATAAGACACCGAGGGGTTGTATATTAGCTTATTGCTAAAAGAACGCGACGTTACGATCTGCCAGGCACTAGCAAAAATAGCTATTTATAGAAATGAAAGAATAAATAATCTTTCCGAATCCGATATCATGTGATTTTTCCAAGAATAGTACAACCTGCGCTACAACCTGCGCAAACAGGAAGTTTTTTAATCAGTCCAAGTTTCCGTCGCCCGTAGGGCAGACTTGCTTTTTGTTTTTTTTAAAAACCCTAGGAGAAAGATCTTGTGAAGGTAAGTATATAAATATATAAATAATTATATATATATATATATATATATATATATATATATATATATATATATATATATATATATATATATACTTTACATTACTTCTTTTTAGATGAATACTTTTTGATTTGTTTGATTATGTTAAGAATTTCAAAATGCTACTTGCTTTATTGTGATGAATTTTATCGCCCCTACATCTTCAGTGCAAGTAAAAATAAAGTAGAATCAAAATTTTGTTAGTGTCTGTTCAATAGAAATTTCGTTTTTGGAGGTAGCTGTAAGTTACTAAGTATGATGTTGAGATACAAGAAAATTCTGTTAGAAAACTACTATATTTTTAAGTGGTCAAACTTTAAAACAAACACTGGCGTAAAAATTGCAAACAAATTCATCCAAGTAGAAGATCATTTAAAATGTTGAAGAGTGCATAGTTTTTCTGTATTTGCTTTACTTAGTTTTTAAATGTTTGAAATAAAAGCTTTAAAACGCAACATTCTAGGTGTTTAATCTGAACTTGAAAATAAAATGGCGTCTTGTCTCGTTTGATTAAACATTAGAAACGATTTTTAGCGAGACTAAGTTAGGCCACGCCCTTTTACGCTACGTTGAACAAGGTGGTTGGTCGTCAACATTGATTTTTGCATTACGTAACGGAGTTAGTCGATAAACAGTGGTTAGTGATCGATTTTACAGTGCGGGTTTTCTCGATCTTTTTTTATCGTGGGGTCACATGTGACAGAGCTGGGGTTCTGACTTGGTTTAGTGTGGGGTTAAATGTGACAGAACAGGGGTTCTGACTTGGTTTAGCGTGGGTTAAATGTGACAGAACAGGGGTTCTGACTTGGTTTAGTGTGGGGTTAAATGTGACAGAACAGGGGTTCTGACTTGGTTTAGCGTGGGTTAAATGTGACAGAACAGGGGTTCTGACTTGGTTTAGTGTGCGGTTAAATGTGACAGAACAGGGGTTCTGACTTGGTTTAGCGTGCGGTCAAATGTGACAGAACAGGTGTTCTGACTTGGTTTAGCGTGCGGTCAAATGTGACAGAACAGGGGTTCTGACTTGGTTTAGCGTGGGGTCAAATGTGATAGAGCAGGTGTTCTGACTTGGTTTAAGTTGCGGTCAATTGTGACAGAACAGGGGTTCTGACTTGGTTTAGCGTGCGGTCAAATGTGACAGAACAGGGGTTCTGACTTGGTTTAGTGTGGGGTCAATTGTGACAGAACAGGTGTTCTGACTTGGTTTAGCGTGCGGTCAAATGTGACAGAACAGGGGTTCTGACTTGGTTTAGCGTGGGGTTAAATGTGACAAGGCAGGGGTTCTCAATCAGTTTAACATGGGGTCAAAGTTGACAGATTTGGACTTCTAACTTGGTTTAACTTTATAGGGGATCACAGACTTTTGACGGCCAAGCTGAGGCTAGATAAATCTATGCCTAAGTTTATTACAGTTATACGGTTTTATAAAAATATACAAACACCAAAACACCAATGCAACGACATTTCAAGCAACGGTATGATTGGGTGGTAGAGCACACGATTGTTAACCCATAAGTCTCGATGTTGGATAACGGGTTCGAGTCTTTGGTCCTCCCTGGGCTTAGCGTGCTCTGGTGAGTACCTATCGCCCTTTAGGGAATGTGAAGGTGGCTGGGCATAGTGCTGACCTCGCTCTCCCTTTATATTATGAGGTCACACGAGCTGGTAAACTTTACCTCAACTGTCCTATAAACCATCGGGTTCGAAAGGGTAACATTACTTAATGAGATAAGTTATGTAGTGTTTCACCCATGGTTTAACATAAAGTTAGTGGCTCATAGCACTGCTTCATTCGTGGTTTAATTCGTATTTAGTAACACATAGCAGTGCTTCATACGTGGTTTAATTAGTATTTAGTAGCATATAGCAGTGCTTCCCTCTTAACTTGTGACTTCATACTGAAATGGCCTAAATCTTGATTAAATGTACCAGACAAAAGTCCACTTAAATGTATATTATTGTAACTTTAGGCGCTCCGTTGTAATTGCCTCTAAAATGTTTACATCTAGCTTATAATAGACAAATTCTTACCACCCCAATGTTGACGTCAACATGTTATGAAACAGTTGAAAGAGTTGGATTTCCTGTTTAGTAAGGAGTTGTCAGTACTATTTCTTGAGTAGTGTTCACCCAAATAATTAAGTGGTTCATAGTAGAATGCCTTAGCAATAAATTCAATCTAACATCTAAAGCAGACCGTTTTTTGTTTAAAAAGTATTTTAAGATTTTTACTTTAACTTACCATAACAAACTACGAGCTTTATATTGTTTCCTTCTTTCTCCACAGCATTTGGACCAGCATCTAGCAGTTCTACAGCTTGAACCTGATTTTGGGAAATCGCTATAAAACCAAAAACTGATTTTAAGAAAAAAAAACAAAACATTCCGTGTGTTCCAGTTTTAGCCAGAGATTTGCTGATACAGACTAATTCGCTGTTTAACATTTTGCATTATATGTGGAAAATTGTGTGGTTTTTCTTCGTCCATTGTGGCATAATTCTAATTTCATCAGAGACGTGTTCATTCAAAGAGAACACAATCATTGAACCATTTACAAAAATGTCTACATAATTTCAAATGACTTATATCCAATATAATTGTTCCCAACTTACAAGTTTACTTACATTATAAGAAATAATTTAAAACTTATACATTTTGACGATATAAATACATACAAGAAATGTATTTCAAGCTTATTACAAGTAATACAAGCCAAACAAAAACATTTTAAATACAAAATGATGATAGCGTACTACACTTTAACAACAAACACCATTTTTCAACCCACACCTTCTCTATCGTCCATCTCTTACAACACACACTTAACAACACACCAGGAACCATGACCTTAAATACCCAAACAACAAGACACCCCACCATAACAAAACACTCCAGAAGGAGGCGTACCCGCAAAAACTCAAAACGGATCTCTTTACTTTCTATTATCAGGAAATTAATCTCCTTTGTACTTAATATAAAAGTCAGACCAGATGTAACGAATTTACCTAGACATTCTTTAGATAGAGGTACCTATAAAGCGGGAAATGGGGGTAAGAAGATTCTGATTACACTTGAAGACCTTTTAGAAATCAAGAAGCTTTTGCTGAACCAAAACACGCCATTGTTTTCCAAAAGAAGAAAAAAATTTAACCCAGCATGCAATTGGCGACCAAAGGTCAAGATAAAAAAGTCTCACACCGAAGGGAAGACGTCTCCAACAACAGACGTGAAAAACAGCGTGACCGGAAGTGTACACATCTCCGACATTGTACCAAGGTCAAGTTCACCGGAAGTTATAAAGTTTGTAGGGGAAAGCGATATTAAAAAAGCGAATCGCTTTAAAATCACGTTTAGTAAAAATTTAGAATCGAAATGTCTAGGTTGTGAGAGGAAGTATCAATTTATTTTTACTGGGCTAGGCGTTGATGATTATATAAAGAAAGGGATATCAATTAATAAGATGATCTTTTGGGACTATATTTATCAGAGCTGTCGGCAATTCAGGTGGAAACTTGATGGCAATTTGCTGACAGTGTTTTGTAAAGAGGCGGGTCTCTACCCCAGCGACTGGCAGTTCAAAGTTCATGAGAATCCGTTTTGTAAACAGCTGTTTTTTCCAGTTGGAGCGGAGTATTTAGGAAGAAAGCTCGAACAAAACCCGAGGTTTTTCATGTTAAAAATTGCATCTTGTGGTGGTATTAAAAATGTAAGCTTGTCAGAGATACCAAGTAAAAGTAACATACTTGAACTTGGAACATTAGGTGAAAGTGCGAGCAGTTCAACGTCTAAGAAGAAAGATAAGATTGATGCCATTGAAGTACAAGACGGTTCCAGGAGTTGCTTAGAAATGCCGCTTCGTGCGTCTTCTAGTCACGCAAGACCGGAACTCCTACATCAAGATTCGCCTCTGTTAGAAAATAGAAAATATTCATTCCCGAGAAATCGGGATAAGATTCTAGAAGATTCGATAGTAGGCGGCTACACTCCAATGGGTGACAAAGCCTCACCTATGCGTTTTCACCGAAACGCCCCCACCCCCTGTTACAACAACCGTACACACCATACTTCTTTCGTTACAAAACGACCGTTACTGCCCACGCCACCACCAACCTCAATGAAACGACCGCTGCTGCATACACCACAGCACAAAACATCGCAATTCAAACGAGCCTTGCTAACAACGCCAATGCCCGTTGCACCCAAGTATCCAGACTATGTCCACAAACAAAACTGTATTCATCCCCCTAAACATCCACATTCTAATCCACACTATATTCATGTAACCAGACATCCACCTCCACCTAAACACCTCCCTCCACCAAAACACCTCCCTCCACCAAAACACCTCCCTCCGCCAAAACACCTCCCTCCGCCAAAACACCTCCCTCCACCAAAACACCTCCCTCCACCAAAACACCTCCCTCCACCAAAACACCTCCCTCCACCAAAACACCTCCCTCCACCAAAACACCTCCCTCCACCAAAACACCTCCCTCCACCCAAACACCTTCCTCCACCCAAACACCTCCCTCCACCTATATACCTACCTCCACCTACACACCACCCTCCACCTAAATATCCCCTTCCATTTACACACCCCACTACACCTAACCTTACACCTAAATATATGGCCGTATACAGACACCCACCCATGCAACAGCAAAGAACTGCGAATAAACAAATAACGAATTCAAATCAAGAACTGATTTTACCAATGCCCTGGAATCGCAATCACCCATCTGGCATTGGCTTAGAACCAAGGTTGCCTTGGCAACGAACTTTAAATCCTGGAAACAACTTCCGGTTTAACATGGCACCACCCATTCCTGAGATGCAGGTGCCAGAAACATCGTCTGCCCTGATGGTGCCATGGTGTGCCTCTTCAGGCTTATGGCGGGATCTGCCGCCTCAATTTCTTTGGGATTTTGTATACAATCTCCCTCAGAGAAGCTCACCTTCATTTGTCTTGTAAGTCTTATTTTATATTAATTGATATGTACCTCGTAGGTTATTTACAGTATATAGTAACGAGCCTCTCTTAAGCATAGTAATGTAATTACTGACGATGTAATACTGTGCTGATGTTTTAAAGCGGTCATGGACTGTTAACATATATCTAACCGCCAAATCATGTAAATCTCAATAACAGTAACACCTGCATACACAAAGCACATACATACACAACGCACATACATACACAACACACACATGCACACATATACACATAAACACAGCTAGAAAAATAAAGCCAAACTGTCAATGCGTAAACGACAATATAACGCGTTCACCATCATGGTTTCTTTCAGCCATTTTTCTCTAGGACGGGGTCTCATCTAGGGGAAAAGGGGGAGCGTATATTATCTAATATGCTCATCCTAGATTAGTTACATTATTTAGTATGGTATCACCAGATTTTGTTAATTACTTTGTTACTTTAATTACTTTATACTTTGCCCAGTTACACTTAGAAATATATACTGAACATTCTTTTTGACTTAGTGTAATCATGTTTTTTTTTTATTCAACAGTAACGTTGACAGCCGAAGATTTGACAGCCGGACTTTCAATATTAACGATTGTGATAACGTTGTCAATCAAGGGAGACTATCCGTACAGTAACTAGGGACCTGATGAGCTATGGGGACACCACTCTATTGTTTGTGACACCCTTCTATGCAGGAATGACATCCCTCTATGAATGGTGACATACGTCTATGCAGCCTTGACTGGGGTGGTGACACCCCTATATGCAAACATGAATGGGGTGGTGACACCCCTCTATGTAGCCATGACTAGGATGGTGACACCATTCTATGTAGACATGACTGAGGTGTTGATACCACTATGTAGACATGACTGAGGTGTTGATACCACTATGTAGCCATGACTGAGGTGTTGATACCACTATGTAGACATGACTGGGGTGGTCACACCCTTCTATGTAAACATGACTGAAGAGGTGACACCCTTCTATGTAAACAAGCCTGGGGTGGTGACACTCTTCTATGTAAACATGACTGGGGTGGTGACACTCTTCTATGTAAACATGACTGGGGTGGTGACACTCTTCTATGTAAACATGACTGGGGTGGTCACACCCTTCTATGTAAACATGACTGAGGTGGTGACACCCTTTTATGTAAACATGACTTGGGTGGTGACACCCTTCTATGTAGCCATTGACTGAGTTAGTGACACCCCTCTATGCTACCATGATGTGTCTAGCGCCATCCCACCACCTCTACACACCCCGCTAACAGCGGGGTTCCAGGCGGCCATTGTTGTCACCCCTGTATATATTTTTTTTTCTTCTATTATCCTTACCTACTATTTATTTCACATCATATTATCATATCTGTTCTTGTCTATAGCATTAATCCAGGGTTTTACTTCAAACGTTAAAATTCATGTTTTACCACTTTAGAGGCAAGGCGAGTTGGTTTTATTGTAAAACTGAAGATGATAATAGGTGCAGTATATGCCTCATTTTTATTTTTGAATGTAAATTAGTTACCTAAATTCGAGGGCAAATTACAACATATGAATTTATATTGTTAGAGTCTGATAGGTCAGATATTAAATTCTGTAAATTAATTTTTTTTGATAAGGGTTAAAAAACATGCAGAGTTCCACAAAATATGTGGAATAAGAACCAATTAGAGCTGGGTTTTTTTTCGGTCTCCATAAAAAAGATGTTTTAATATTTAAAAAAAGAAAACAAAAACTTGGAAGTTCAGATTTTTTTTACTTTTATTTAAAAATTTTCTTTAACTGTTTTTTCAATTTCATTTATTTTTTATAACTTACGGCACATTTTAGTAAAAGTTCTAATAACTGTTTTATTTCATTAGGTTTTATGCTTACTAAATAAACAGTATATTATTGCCTAAAATTGTTTCTTATTTCATAAACCATGCTACAACATCGTGAATGTTAGTTGTGGTTAAAAAAAGGCTTTACTAGTCTATATGAGGATTTAGTAACCGATTCAGTAAGTACAGAATATACAAGTAAAACGTTTTTATCAATCAAAGTATAGAGACAAGACTGAAAAGTTAAATTTATGTTCTCTCTACGATTTCTTTATACAGCAATTATCTACACATTTACACATATAGGGTCAGTGGCGTAGCTAGGATCGTCTCATGGTGGGGGGGTTCAATTTTTTATCGCATTATAAATGTATATATCAGAGGCGTAGCGTCCCTCCGCGTCCCCCGAGGACAAACTTTTGATTTGCACCCCCTCAAACTTTTGATTTCCACCCCCCTCCCCTCAAACTTTTGATTTGCACCCACCCCCCTAAAACTTTTGCTTTGCACCCCCCCCCCCTCCCCAACAAACTTTTCATTTGCACTTCCCTCAGACTTTCGATTTTGCACCCCCCGCTCAACCTTTATGTATCTACCGAGGGGTCTATGGGGGGGGGGGGGTTCTGACCCCCTAACCCCCCTGCCTACGCCACTGCATAGGGCAGGGGTCGGCAACCTGCGGCTCGCGAGCCGCATGCGGCTCTTTTGATATCAAAATGCGGCTCTCCAGCTCCTTGAACAAATACTAATAATCTTAATAAAAAAATAAAATATTTGAAATAAAAAAAATGTTAGTGGCTCTTTAAAACCAGGGAAATTTTGAAAATTGTAACTTTTGGCTCTTCCGCTTCAAAAGGTTGCCGCCCCTGGCATAGGGTAATGGGCAGCAAAAATTGCGCAGCCCGGTAAAATTATATATATATATATTTATATATATATATATATATATATATATATATATATATATATAATATATATATATATATATATATATATATATATATATATATATATATATATATATATATATATATGTGTGTAACGCATGTGTTTGTCGTTGGTCTTGAAGGATTTAAGTGTTAGACAATTATCGTGCGCATTTGTCTAAATTTATGAGTTAAAAAATTACTATTGAAAGTGTTGGGAAATAATTTTCATTTTTCAAATCTATATATATAAAGCAAAGTGGTCAGGTGCCCGATAGGGCACTTCCCGGCGCCGCAGGCGCGTCAAATTTGGCACGATGGTGCCTTGGGGCGATAGAACACGAGGGCCGGTGACGGTTGGCCGAAAAGTCTACGGGGAAGGGGTCAAAACTGACCTCGACTGACCGGCGCCTTATATGGGCTATATTACGAAAAAAAATTTCCTCCGACGACCCCCCTTGAAATTTTGTGAGGTGGTAGGAGAACGCCTCGGGGTGTCACAAAAAACTCGCCATGTCCGGGAAAATTCGTTAAATGGGTCAAAGCTGACCAGTCGTATTTCCCTATATAATCTTTGTATTTTATGGGAAAAACAGAGGGTGATTTCAAAACGGATTTTAGGGCACTTACCTTCTTTACATCTGGCTAATTTTTTGCATGCTCTTAGGTAAATGGCTTGACCTTTAGGGAAAATGGTCAGTTTCACTCAAAGCCCTCGACGAGGGCTAAAAAGTGACCGCGAGTGAAATTCTCTTTATATGAGCTCTATTACGAAAAAAAATTTCCTCCGACGACCCCCCTTGAAATTTTGTGAGGTGGTAGGAGAACGCCTCGGGGTGTCACAAAAAACTGGCCATGTCCGGGAAAATTCGTTAAATGGGTCAAAACTGACCAGTCGTATTTCCCTATATAATCTTTGTATTTTATGGGAAAAACAGAGGGTGATTTCAAAACGGATTTTAGGGCACTTACCGTCTTTACATCTGGCTAATTTTTTGCATGCTCTTAGGTAAATGGCTTGACCTTTAGGCAAAATGGTCAGTTTCACTCAAAGCCCTCGACGAGGGCTAAAAAGTGACCGCGAGTGAAATTCTCTTTATATGAGCTCTATTACGAAAAAACATTTCCTCCGACGACCCCCCTTGAAATGTTGTGAGGTGGTAGGAGAACGCCTTGGGGTGTCCCAAAAAACTCGCCATGTCCGGGAAAATTCGTTAAATGGGTCAAAACTGACCAGTCGTATTTCCCTATATAATCTTTGTATTTTATGGGAAAAACAGAGGGTGATTTCAAAACGGATTTTAGGACACTTACCCTCTTTACATCTGACTAATTTTTTGTATACACCTCAAAAGCTGACTACGCCGTATGGAAAACTGTTGGTCAGACTTATAGCCTTCTTAGAGGGCTAAAAATGACCGCGAGTGAAATTCTCATTATACAAGATTTGGTCATTTGGTCTTTGAACAGGGGAGGTAACTTTTTAATGTAATAATTTTTAAATATTTTGTATACTCTTTTTAAGAAAAAAACAAAAATCATAAAGTATAGCATTGTTTTAAATAAATTTTTTGTTACGAATTAAGTTTTGCATTGAATTGTAATTGTATAAATTAATTGCGAAAGTAATTCATTATAATATTTGATTGATAATATTAAGAAAACCCTTGCAGTTCTAATAACCGTACAAGTAATAAGTTTGCGAATATTCCATCGATTATTTGAGTGACATTAAAATACTCCACTGTAAAAATTTAGGCCCTAAGCATTTAAGATAGCAGCCAATCACCTATTAATTAATCATTCAATTCCCCAACTTTTTTGAATACCTAAGCGAAGCTAGGCAGTATGCCTAGTTATAGTAATAATTGTCGGCATGTTCATTAAACACAAGTTTAAAAAAAATATCATCTTTTACAACAATTCTAATTATGTCTTTATTTAGTCCTATAGCACTTACTTCCCTTTGATAAATTAGGAAAACACAATTACTTCCCTTTATAAAACCATTGCATTTTGTGGAAAAGAATTTACTTTTTAATTACTTTGTTTTGGTGTTGGGAAAAAAATAATTACATAATTAGCGGGGATTGATCAAGTGCAAATGTTGTAGGTATTTTACGGATAAGCTTGGAGTATTATAATTGTTCATCAAATTGAAACAGGCGCGTTCGTTTAAGTGAGTGCATACGACTATGAATAAGTTGGGGTACTATAGTCGTTCATTAAGCTAA